TGAACTAACTCTAACTTTTCAGCCTTGGGTGTCTTACCAATCTTTGCAAAGCTGACTTTCTTTTGTTTGCCAAAGATGCAATCCTCGCATAGTCTGACATCTACATTCTTTAGATCCGACAGCTTCCCCTTTGACAAAAGTGTCTTCATCCCTTTCTCGCTTATATGGCCAAGCCTTTGGTGCCATAGGTTTGATTTTCCATCAGCATATGCTACTGCAATGATATTCTCTAAATTTGAGGTTACATAGAGAGTACCAGTCTTCTTACCACGAGCAATGACGAGTGCTCCTTTGGTAATCTTCCATTCACAACCTGAAAAGGTTGTACTGTATCCTTCTCCATCAAGCTGTCCTACAGAAATCAAATTTCTTTTGAGACCAGGAATATGTCTCACTCCTGTCAGCTTCCAGGTGGTCTGGTTTGGCAGCTTTAGTCGGATGTCTCCTTTTCCGACGATTTTCAAGGTTTCATCATCAGCAAGATGAACCTTCCCAAAATCACCACTGACATAGTTCTCCATGATTTCTTGGCATGGCGTGGATTGGAAAGATGCCCCTGAATCCAAAATCCATGATTCAATCGGACTGTTGACGCTTAAAATCATGGCATCACCTGTCTCATCCGTCATGTTGGCAGATTCCTGTGCGCCGGTATTTTTCTTCTATGCTCGGCAATCTCTTTTGAAGTGGCCCTTCTTGCCGTAATTATAACAGGTAAAATCTTTATTTCCTGTTCTTGATTTTCCCCTTCTGGATTTCGATCTGCCACGATTTGAATTTTTTTCTGAAGTTCTCCCTCTGGACTCCGTGTGCAAGGCTGAGGAGGTTGATACTTCACCCGATTCTCTCCGTCGGATTTCTTCACTCAGTACCAGATCCCGAACATCGTCGAATTTTAATTTGATGTTTCCCGATGAACTGTTGACTGCTGTAACAGTAGCATTTCAACTGTCTGGTAAAGATGATAAGAGAATTAAAGCTCGAACTTCATCATCAAATTCAATTTCCACTGAACTCAACTGGGTTGTGATTGTGTTGAGTTCATTTAGGTGTTATGCCACCGATGCCCATTCCGTCATCCGTAAATTGAATAATCGCCTCATCAAATGAACTTTGTTTGAGGCCGATGGCTTCTCATACATACTAAAGAGAGCCGTCATAAGACCCGTCGTAGTCTTTTCCTTTGCTATGTTGAAAGCAACATTGCGGGATAACGTCAGTCGGATAACTCCGAGGGCTTGTCTGTCGAGAAAAGCCCAGTCTTCATTCTTCATGCCCTCTGGTTGTTTTCCTGAGAGGGGTTGATATAGATTTTTCTGGTATAGAAAATCTTCAATTTGCATCTTCCAAAATCCAAAGTCCGCACCATCGAACTTTTCAATTTTCACCTTCCCTTCGTCTACAGCCATCGCTCCCACTCGAATCTGGCTTCGTTTGGATCGTTTCTGACAATTTTTGCGAACCGTCGTGTATTATAACACCTCCGTCGACAAACTCGTATCGCCGATCGAATTTCACTATTCACAAAATTCACTATTCATATGAATAGTAACTTGAATAGTAACCTCGCAAAAAATTGACAAAATTCACAACCCAAAAGCTCTGATACCAGTTGTTGAGAAATAAACCAAGTACAAGTAATTTCCCTATTACCAGATTAGTGAGAATGCGAAATAAAAGCGGAAAAATAATACCCGAAATTGATAACGGAGTTCAGCCAATTGTGCTTACGTCTCCGGACTGCTGCAGATCTTTTACTAAGAGAGAAAATTTACAGGTGTTTATAAAACACTCACTACTCACAAGAAAACTCTCTAGTATTGGGAGAAAGAAATGATTTTTTGGATGGTTTTGAAGCTAAATGAGCTAGGGTATTTATAGTTGAAACTTAAGGACTTAATCTTGTAAATACCCTAAAACCTAGGGATTAATTGTGATTATCCCATTATCATTTTTCAACAAACATCTACCAAACTTTGAAAAACTATTTTTCAAAGAAACATTTACCAAACTTTGAAAATCATTTTTAAAGAAACATTTACCAAACTTTGAAAATCATTTTTTCAAAGTTGGTTACCAAACTTGAAAACCATTTTAATACTTTCAACACTCCGCGGGGAACCGGTGTTTTTCCCGTATCGGATTGGATCGCATTCTCGAGGTCGCAGAAGATGCAAATGGCGGTCTCTCTGATCCGACAACGAGTCCGGGTCGTTTTGTTCCGGAGTAACTCGGAACATTCTTTAGCCACCATGCCGTCGATGGCGGAGAGTTTGTCGCGCAACGTCTCGTATATGTCGAGGAATTTGAAGAGTTTCTCCGTCGAACGCTTGACGGTGGCGACCGCTTCGGCGAAATTGAGAAGCTAGATAAACACGCGGCTAACGAGGTTGCTGAAGAGGGCGGAGGAAAACGAAACGTAACTTGAGAAGACGGTTTCGACAAGCTTACGCTCGCTGGAGAAGTAGAGGTTAACACATTGTTTAAACGCCGTGATCCATGGAGGAATCTCCTTCTGTAAAGCTTCCCATTGCATCTTTTGAGCATCATCAATGGCGATCTTCTCGTATCCAAGCTTGTTCAAGGCTTCTTCAATTATGTTCCTCCTGGTAATCATGTAAGCCTCGCAGCATTCAGATTCATATCCTCCATAGATCATCTCATTCGCAATCTTAATCAAGGTGATCAACTTTTCATTAGAATAACCTGGATAGTTTTGTTCTTCATTGGAATGATGAACGGCCGATTGATCTTCACGGGACTGATCCGATTTTCGAAGCCTTAGATTCTTCCATGAGAGACATGAATTCATCCTCCAAATAACACATAGCTCGCTGCTGGATCTTACCAACGCGGTTGATCAAAGCACCGTGATCGAAACCGGAATCGAAATAGGATAAATTCATGTACAGTTTTGATATCTGGTTCACAAGTTTAAGAAACGAGCCATCGTCTTCAAGAATCGATTCATGGCTACAGATTTTGTCGTCGACAATATCAAGATACTTGTCGACGAAGTCGGGAATTTCGATTTGGATAGAGAATTGTGACAATAAATTTTCGATGTCCTGGGAGGCTTCTTCCAGGACATATCTGGTCTGGGGATCTCCTTTATCTTGAGTTTCTTTCTCTGGATTCTCCGCCTCCGCGACAGAGATTTTTTTGCGGTGGTGGTGGTCGTCCATGGCTGAAAATCATGAGGAGAAGTGCATGGTTTTGTCGTAAAGGGAATTGAAATGGTCGTGGGTGGCAGTAATATACGGAGGGACAGTGAGGGTTTGTTTTCGATGGTTGTAGTATCTGTTTTCTAGGAGGGTTAAGTCATAACCACATCACTTTTGTAAGAATATATCCTTAACATATATTATAGGGTAAATTGCACGTTAGTACCTAAATTATTACTTTTATTTCGTTAGTATCTAAATTTTATTTTTTTCATAAGATATAATAATAAATTTATCCCCAACATTTGCATAAATGGTCACTTTGTCCCTGTACTTTAGCCTCCAACATTTCATTTTGGAGCAAAATGTTCCCTAGTTGAATGAAAATGTTAGTGGACTAACTGTCAATATTTCATACAGACGTGACAAGTCTATGTGTGATGCCACTTCAGCAAAACAATATTTTTGATGATGTCGCATCAGACGTAGACCTGCCAGATTAATAGGAAGCGTTGATTGTTAGTCAACTAACAATTATTATACACCTATAGGATATTTTGATCCAAAATAAAACGTCAGGGGCTAAAATGCTCTAAAAAAGGAAAGGGGAAAAGCGATCATTTATGCAAATGTTGGGGGATGATTTTGTTATTATGCCTTTTCATAATCATACCTAACAATTAGTTTAAGTCAATTTGATACCATTTAATAGAACTGTTGATGTGACATTCTTAACGATGGCATAACATTACCGTAGGGAAACGTCAACATCACCGTTAAATTTTAATAATAGGATACCAAAATGAAACCTAAAAGAAAAATTAAGCATGATTTTGAAAAAAATAAAGTTTAAGTTTCAAAACAGAATAAAAACAATAGTTTAGGTACTAAATGTGTAGTTTATCCTAACATAAATTATAATATAAATTAAAATATATTAATTTTATATAATATTTTTAATTTATATTATAAATTTAAAAAATAAATAAAATGAGTAAAAAGTTATAGAAAATTTGTCATATTGTTTTGAGTAAATTACACATTTAGTAGTTAAACTATTAATTTTTGTTTGTTTTAGTATCTAAACTTTTAATTTTTTAAAACCATATGTAACATTTAGTTTTGTTTCATTATAGTACCCGCCATTAAAAACTTAACAGACAGACTCACCAACCGTCGCGTCTACAGCTGTCGACCATCACATCCGTCGTTAATGAAGCCCAAACTTTCTAGCTCACACCTTTTCGAACCTCTGAACATGATTTCAGCTTTCGTTCCACCGAAAAATACCTTAATATCCCCCAAATCGATGATGAACTTTTTAACTTCTCCGTCCTCCGATATTCATCGTCAACCGTTCGATAGACCTAAAACTGGACTATGTTGGTCGACTCGTCATTCTCTTATGGTCCACTGTTCGGGTTGGTCGTCCGTCCACCACAGTTATGCCTCGTCAGCACACCCATTAAGTTTTTAACGACAAATACTAAAATGAAACAAAAACTAAACATTATGTATGTTTTTGAAAAACTTGAAAGTTTAGGTGCTAAAACGGACCAAAAATGATAGTTTAAGTATTGAAAACGTTAAGTTTTTAATGGTTGGGTACTAAAATGGAATAAAAACTAAATATTAAATATGATTTTGAAAATATTAAAAATTTAGATCTAAAACGAACAAAAAAATATAATTTTAGTACTAAACGCATAATTTATCCTATAATTAATTATCTAAATCCCCTGCACGGCTACTAAATCTAGTAACTATAAAAAGAGAAGAAAAAAACTTTATTTAATTATTTAATATTTTGAAAGAGGGTTTGGTTGTGGGCACCGACGCAATCGCGTAATTAGTCCACAAATCTTCGCTTTTGAAGGAACAAATCCAATCGCACTGTCGAAGTTCACTTCAACTCCAATGAGGCACGGCGTTTCAAGGCGGAAGCGTGTTCCGGTACGCTCCTTTCTGATTCTCTGCGCAGCCTTTATTTCCGTAACCTGGCTCATGCTCACACTAAGATCCCTCGACGCACCGCCGATCACCACCGCCGCCTCCGCCAACGGAGCCGTGCTGGATTTTCCTGCCCAGCTGGAGCTCCGGGAGCTTAAAAGAAACGCGTCTTTGTCTTCGGCCGAGGCACCCGTTCAAGCTCGGCCCAAGTCCTGCGCTACGGTGGAGGAAATGGGCAAGGTTTTTAAAGGGAGGATTGTGAAGGAGACTCTTAGAGTTCGAAGGATTATTCAAACTCACTTTTCCATAAATGGTAATCTCTTGAATGTATATTCCTTTTGATTGAAGGAAATTTGACTCGGATGTAAATTTTTTTATACTTTCAGGCGCGCTGAGAATACGTGAACTTCCGCCGGAGCAGTTCTGTAGACATGGGTTTGTGATCGGAAAAGCATCGGAAGCTGGTTTTGGCAACGAAATGTACAAGCTATTAACTGCCGCTGCCTTGAGTGTAATGCTGAACCGGTCACTGATCATTGGGCAAACCAGGCATATTATTGGTTCTTTCTCAATCCTATCTGTTTTGTGTTTTAAATGTTCTTATTTGTAGGACTGTAAACGAGCTTAGTGGAGATCGATTATTAGTGACGGGTGAACTCGAAAAATTTACTAGTTCGATCCAAACTTGAAATTCAAAATTAAAATTGGACTCAAATTCAAAATAATTGAACTTAGAATTTTCTTGAAGCTCGAATTCGAGCTTAGTTTAAGCTATAATTGTTAATATTATTATTAATTTAATTTTAAAAAATTAAATTTTAGGGTAAACTATGCATTTAATACTTAAACTATCAGTTTTGATCAATTTTACTATTTAAACTTTCAATTTTTGTAAAAACATACCTAATGTTTAGTTTTTATTTTATTTTAATATTCACCGTTAAAAACTTAGTGCGCTTAGTTGCTAAACTATCGGTTTTGTCTGTTTTAGTACTTAAACTTTTATTTTTTTTTCAAAACTTAATGATAAATTTTGAACAGATATTAAAATAAAACAAAAACTAAACTTTATGTATGATTTTGAAAAAATTGAAAGTTTAGGTACTAAAATAGATCAAAACTGATAGTTTAGGTGCTAAACGTGTAATTTATCCAAAATTTTAATACAATATCTTTTCGAGTTTCTAGCGATCTTTTAGAATTGGATATCAAGTAACTCGCTTTCTTGTTAAGATCTCAAGTCGAGCTTGAGCTTGAATTCATTCGATTTGAGTGTTGACCAAGTTTTGATGAACTCGAATAACTCGTAATCTGTCTCGTCTCATTTTTAACTGTACTTATTTGTCTAATGCTTTAAAAAACGTGTGAACAATTCTACGTGTCATTGGAGTTATGCCTCTCATGCTTTGCTTGTGTTCATTTATGTTTTTTTCACTTGTCTTTGTTCAGGGGTAAATATCCCTTTGGGGATTACATTTTGTATTCAAATCTCACCTTTACGTTGAGAGAAGTTAAGCATTTGTGGAGACAAAATGGTTGTGTAAAAAAGTATGGAAGGCATCTTGTGATGAGGATCGATGATTTCGAGAAGCCGACGAAGACAAACGCCCTCTGTGGCAATTGGAGGAAGTGGCGCCAACCGATCATATGGTAGAGTGTCGACTCTGTCGATAGAAATTGTCCTAGTGTTTTCGAATTTACGGATGCATCAGTATAATATTTCAGGTACCAAGGCACCACAGATGCTGTAGCAGCCCAGTTTTTCTTGAAGAACGTACATCCCGATATGAGGAACGCGGCTTCCGAGTTGTTCGGAAACCCGGAATCTCTTCATTCAAGGCCTAATGTATTTGGAGAACTAATGAGAATGCTCATTTCACCTTCAAGAGATGTTGAGGAAGCTGTAAATTGGGTTATTGGTGGTGGTAGGGACCCTGATATTACATTGCACATGCGGATGCTTATGAATAGGTAATTGGAGAAAAACAATTCCAGTTTTATTGTATGCATTGGCTGCCAATTCTTTGCTGAGAAGTTTTTAAAATATTTCAACCACCTAAATCCGAAAAACCGAATACCCTCACACGCACGGCATTTTCGATGAGATTATTTTCTGAAAGGAAACTCATCTGGTTAGTGATGCTGGTGCTGGTTCTTGTGTTCCATGTTTCAGGTCGGTGAGAGCGGCGCAGGCTGCATTAAACTGCCTCAAAAGAGCGATACGCAACTTACGGCAAGGGTCGAGACCCAGGGTGGTTGTAATATCTGATACCCCCTCTTTCGTGAAAGGCATATCACCAAATATAACTGAAGTTGCTGAGGTAACAAAATCTGTCTCCCCCGATCCACACACGAGCACTCCTCGAAAAGGGAAGAAATGTTAATGATAAATAACCTTCATGTTTCAGTATATTGGTAGATATACTAATGTATCTGCAATTTTTTTTGTCTCAGGTTCTTCATTTTGATTACGGACGTTTCAAAGGCAACGTCTCTCGTGACATTAAATCATCGCCGAGTTTGGATTTTAGAGTGAAAGATTGGGGACCGGCACCTAGGTGGGTTGCTTTTGTCGACTTCTTTCTTGCATCTCGTGCAAGGCATGCCGTTGTTTCAGGGGCTTACAGACGTGTCGGGACTACCTATGCTCAGTTAATCACTGCATTAGCTGCAGCTAACAGTATCGGTAATGCTGCTCCCTGCATCCCCGGCTTATTTAGCCGGATCATATCTTATACTCATTCATGATGCCTTATGATCTTACAGCTGCTTGGTCTTTTCAATAAGCCGGATCATATCTTATACTCATCCATGATGCGTTATGATCTTATAGTTGCTTGGTCTTTTCAGGGGAAAATTCGACATCTTCGAGATTCTCTTTCCTAAGCAGCTTCCAGGGTAACTTGTTGGCAGAAGGTTTGAAGCTTCAGGTGGGGTGGGGACACGTATGGAACCGATTTGCTGGACCGTTGAGTTGTCGGGGGCAGCCGAATCAGTGTGCTTTCACACCGCTTCTTCCTCCGGCTTGGTGGGAGGATCAATGGCAATCTCCAATCCCGCGCGATATTCATCGGTTGGAACAATATGGTATCCGACTCTCCGGCTTGGGAACGACAGACGAGAATCAGATTCGCGGCTTTTGTAGTTCTAGGAAGAACATTGTGAAAACTGTTCCATTCATATAGAATTAGATGCAATGGATGCAGCTGCAATTCTTTTTTATACATTAGAACCCTTCTGATGTGTGAAGGTGATGCCTTCATGTGTGCTTCCAGCTGGGTAAATTACAGCTTGTAGTAAAAGAAGTATTTATTGGGTAATTATGTATTTAGTATCTAAACTTACTTAAACTTTCAAAATTTTAAAATTGTACCTAACGTTTAATTTTTGTATCGCTTTAGTATCTTGCCGTTAATGGTTGATTTCCACCGGACACCTTGTTTATGGGTAAATTATATCATTTATCACTCAACTATCTTCTCACTCTTATTTTGGTCACTAAAGTTTAATTTTTTTTAATTTAATTACTTAACTTTTAAATTACTTTTAATTTAATCACTCTAACTTTCAAATTTATTTTTTATTTTAAATTATATATAAAAAAATAAAAAAAAATCTTGTCACAAAAATTATTAATAAAAAAAATTAGAGTGATTAAAATAGGAACAATTTGAAAGTTGAGTAGTTAAATTGAAAACTTTTAAACAATAGTACCAAAATAATAGTGAGAAGATAGTTGAGTAATGAATGATGTAATTTACCCATAAATAATTACAGGTGAGATACTAAAATGAAACAAAAACTAAGCATTTGGTATGATTTTAGAATTTTTTTTTGAAAGTTTAAGTTCTAAAATGAATCAAAACTACTAATTTAGATAATAAACACATTATTTACCCATATTTATTTTTGGCTTAGTTTCAAAACACAAATCGGCAATTGCATCCCTTTTTCCTTCATACTTTTCTTTTTACGGGGCTCCTAAATTTCACGACTTATTTAGCTAAATTGAGTTAAAGTATTATTGAGCTCGATTCGAAGAAAAATTAAGTTCAAATTGATTACAAAGTTTATGAGTTTAAAATTATGAAGCTCAACTTGAATTCAAAATTAAAAAATAAATTCGACTTAATTTGAAAACTCGTAAACTTAAATTCGGATATTAAAAATATAAGAGATATTAGTATTTAATATTAATTGATTAAAAATTATTTTTTAACATGTATTGTCTTATAATTATTGTGATTAATAAATAAAATTGTTAAAGAATCAGTTTTTTTTGTATGACCACCGATATTTAATCTAGTGATCAATTAATTTAGATTAAATATTATAAAGGTAAGGGTAATATTCTTAACTTAATTTGTTTCATTTACAATATCATATTTTAAATTTCTTAACCAATAGGAAAAAATGAAGAGAAAATCGCCTCAGTGACCAAAAATACCTTATAATATACGATTTTAACCAACTTTTTTTGGATTTGCCAAAATAACCAACAAAATCGCAACGCGAAATAAAAATCGCAACGCGATCCCCAGAATCGCAAATCAGTTTCCAAAATCGCAACGCGATTCTTGAAAATCGCAATGCGATAGTACAAATTCGCATTGCGATTTTCCAAAATCGCAACGCGAATATGAAAATCGCAACGCGAACACATAAATCGCAACGCGTATCCGTAAATCGCAACGTGTATCCGTAAATCGCAACGCGTATGGGTAAATCGCAATACGTATCCGTATATCGCAACGCGTATCCGTAAATCGCAACGATAATACATAAAATCGCAACGCGTATCCGTAAATCGCAACGCGATATTTAAAGCGCCATTATAATCGCTACGCGTATTTTATTTTCAAATTACAAAAACGAATATTAAGACAAAATCCCGTAATCGCGACTCATAACCTAAAACCTAAAATCACAACTCAGTCTCATCTCCATCTCTCACTCTCTACGGTGAAGAAATCCGTCCCCATCTCCGAAGATTTCCGTCCCCATCTCCGGCGAAATCCCTCACAACCATTCACGGTCAGAAATCCCTCACAATATTCAGAAATGGAAAATCAACCTCCGAGGGTTAGTTTTTTTTAATTATTTTTATTTTGAAACGTTTGCATTATTGTAGGTTTTTCATATTGAAACTGATGATAAGTTTACTGGTCATTTCAATAATAGATTAACCATTTCACTTAGATTTCATTTCGCGTTACGATTCTGTCGTTGCGATTTTCATTTCGCGTTGCTATTCTCTCGTTGCGATTTTCAAGTTAGTATTTGTCTTTGTCTTTGTTCTGTCTTTTGGTTGAAGTAATGCAATCCATTCAAGTTTCAATTTGCAGAAGAGTCGCAACGAGATAAATGAAAATCGCAACGAGAGAATGACTGTCGCAACGAGAGAAATGAAAATCGCAACGAGAAAATCGCAACGCGAAATGAAAATCGCAACGAGAGAATCGCAACGCGAAACCAAAATCGCATTGCGATTTTCATTTCGCGTTGCGATTCTCTCGTTGCGATTTTCATTTCGCGTTGCGATTGTCATTTCGCGTTGCGATTCTCTCGTTGCGATTTTCATTTCAACCAAAAGACAAAACAGTGTTGCAAATTTTAGTTTCAAGAATAAACTACTACTTTTTATGTTTATTGTTTTTGGTATATCTTCACAGTGTAGTTTTTGGTATATCTAACTTGGTATGTTTATTGTTTTTGTAGAAATTTTTTTCGGCTCAATTGACCTTGAGAAATAAAGTCAGCCTGGCCACTACAATTGCTTCGAAGCTTTCACCTGCTCAAAGACAATTGTTTGAGGAAACCTGCTTCGGGCCATGGCTGAGAGTACAGCATCCGGGTGGAGATGCTAATTTGACCCATTTGTGGCTTCAGACCATGACATCAAATCTACCCGACAGTATACAACGTGGTGAGGAAGAGATATGGTTTCATTTTCCACCAGCGTATACTTGTTTTGGGCGGAAGGAGTTCTGCTTAATCACTGGTCTACGATTCGGACACGATGATGTAGGCCAGTACACTCGTCATATCGCCCGCCCATCATGGTTATCCCGGGTTTTTCCGGATGAGTCAATGGAGAAGCCGAACCTACATGTCGACGACCTGAAGAAATTGTTTAATAAGAAAGCTGGTTTCACTCGGATGGATGACGTCGATGTTGTCCGAGTATGCCTTCTACTACTTGTGTATGCCGGCTTTTTAGGCAGAGAGGCCAGACAACCTATTCATCGGGAGCTAATAATATTGGTAGAGGACCTGAATGCATGGAATCTGTTTCCGTGGGGTTCGTATATATGGAAAGCTACCTGGACTAAGTTGTCGTCTGCCTTTGATGACCGCAAAAGTTTGCGGGGCGATGGGTCCAAATACACTTTGTCAGGCTTTGTTTGGGCCTTTAAGGTAAGAATTTCTATATAATGTTTCTAAAATTATAATTAATTATTTAACAATTACTAATTTGTTATTATATTGTTTGTAGATTTGGATATTCGAGGCTTTCCCCAGCATGCGTACATATGCAATAAAAACGTCAAATGATATTCCCAGGGCTATTTCCTGGAAGAGGAAAACTCTGTTGGATTGGGAAGACTTAATACCATATGCGACAATAAATAATGTAAGTTAACACAAATACTTTCATATAATATATAAACAAGTTATTAATAGTAGACGTTTAACTTTGTTTGAGTTTTTATATTTTAGGAGGCCAACATTCCATTACAAAGACTGACACCCACGGAGGAAGAGCTTGCCACTGATTGGTGGCAAGCTAGTCAGAGTTTTTTTGATGGCACGGATGATGAGCAGCATCCACTTCCTCCAATTCAAGAGCCATCACCTCACCTAGAGCCATCACCCGATCGACCCGACTATACACCTCTAGAACGAGAGCCATCACCTATCCCGTCACATCATCGAGCCTCTTCTCCACCATCACCTCATGATAGGCGACCGGCAAAGATGCCACGACTCCTATCTCCCTGTTCTCCACCTCCACCTCCACGGGATGAGTCAAGGGAGTTACGTGATGAGGTCAATGCCTTGCGTGAGGAGATCGGTACTCTACGCGATAACGATGGTGCATGGCGTGTGGAGGTGTCAACTTTACGTGGTGAGGTTGCCGCTCTACGTGAGATGATAGTATCGTTGCAGAATGAGGTTCATACTCTACGCAACGAGGTAAGTTTAAGATTTTCCATATTTAACTTAATGATAAATTTACTCGTAATTTCACTTAGATTAGCCATTTCACTTAGATTGCTTAGTAAATTTATTCGGTTGCTGCCAATTCTGCTAAACTGTGTATTCTTTAACACTGTGAAATAGTATTTGTCTTTGTTTTGTCTTTTGGTTGAAAGTAAATTTGTTCGGTTGCTGCCAATTCTGCTAAACTGTGTATTCTTTAACACTGTGAAATAGTATTTGTCTTTGTTTTGTCTTTTGGTTGAAAGTAAATTTGTTCGGTTGCTGCCAATTCTGCTAAACTGTGTATTCTTTAACACTGTGAAATAGTATTTATCTTTGTTTTGTCTTTTGGTTGAAAGTAAATTTGTTCGGTTGCTGCCAATTCTGCTAAACTGTGTATTCTTTAACACTGTGAAATAGTATTTGTCTTTGTTTTGTCTTTTGGTTGAAAGTAAATTTGTTCGGTTGCTGCCAATTATGCTAAACTGTGTATTCTTTAACACTGTGAAATAGTATTTGTCTTTGTTTTGTCTTTTGGTTGAAGTAATGCAATCCATTCAAGTTTCAATTTGCAGAAGAAGAAATAGTTTACTTTCGCAACACGAAACTTAAAATCGCAACGCGAAACCAAAATCGCAACGACAAGATCGCAACGCGAAACCAAAATCGCATTGCGATTTTCATTTAGCGTTGCGATTCTTTCGTTGCGATTTTCATTTCGCATTGCGATTCTGTCGTTGCGATTTTCATTTCGCGTTGCGATTTTGGTTTCGCGTTGCGATTTTAAGTTTCGTGTTGCGAAAGTAAACTATTTCTTCTTCTGCAAATTGAAACTTGAATGGATTGCATTACTTCAACCAATAGACAAAACAAAGACAAATACTAACTTTAGGGTATTAGTTTGAAACATATTTTTCTTTGTTATCTGATGCATTTGACTTGGGTGAATACAATGCAAGTTTGAAACATATTTGTCTTTGTTTTCACTGTTTAAATATCATGTATGTTTATTTACTGATTTTTGTATTTAATTATTTAGCGGCCCGATAGAGTGGATGCTTTACGTCGGGTTATGCTTGCACGACGGAGTTCACGCATCAGACAGCGTGCACGTGCTATTAAGTCTCCGTACACCCCAATA